AAGTCCTTATGCGGAAATCTTCTAAAATACATTTTTTGGAAGCCTCTGAAGCTTTCAGCCCATTTGGTGGAAAAATAAACAAGTTATTGCGCATTTGCACCAAATTAGACTCAGAATCCCTCAGAATACTTTTACTCAGACCAGTAAAAATATAAATGGACGATTTTGAATGTAAAATAGTACTACATTTTACTATACAAGATCATATAGTCGGCGTTAAGTCAGAAGCGACTAAGTAGCAAAATAAAAACAAAAAATGAGTTAATGATATCATAAGATCAAGAATTCTCTCAGCTATATTTCACTTTTTCAGCCAGATTTGAAAAATTAGAGTAGCAAGAGAAAACGGTCAAATGATTTGTCCCATTACATAAGACACAATATTGAACAGCCAACTTTAAATTCGTTTTTCTCGAAATCAAAAAAAAATCACAGTTCGGTCTGACTTGATCGATCATATCAACACGCTAGTAATGATAGAACTCTGAAGATTAATATTTGTATTTTGTCTTGCTTGAGTGAACACTATTTTAAGGGATTATTTTCAACGCAGAAGTGTACTTTGCTGCATAAACGTTGGTGGTGACTTCTTATTACATACACACAAGTCTGCACTCAAAAATTAACCAAGTTTAACATGTTGTAAATTTGTTCTGTTATGATCAATTGAGTTGAAATTTTGACTCAAAACTTGCTTTTCCATTGTGCTTTGTCGGATCAGCTATGCACAAATTTTAATTTTATTGTCACCTTCCAGCAGGTGCTTCAAAAAATTGGGTATTTCTTACACGTGAAGCTCAAAATATTTGTAGTTTTGCGTCAAAATTTCAGCTCAATTGATCATAACAGAACACATTTACAACATGTTAAACTTGGCTAGTTTGTATGAAAACGACCTTTGTCCGATCAACTTAGCACCTCAGTGTACGTAGGTACGAAATGCTGGATTAAGGTTAATGTAATATATTTAGGAAAAAGTTGTGTCATATCTGTATTACGGATTGTTGCTAAGCTTCTTGCTTCAGGAATTGTACTGAATACCTGTCAATCAACAAACTTACTACGGCAGCAACTGAATTCTTCAGATGAAACAATCAATTTGCGACGACAGATTTCTAAATAGTCCTAGTGTTAGTACCCTGGACCCTCGGTGAAATTAAAAAAAGCATATGTATTAACGAGCACATAAACCACAACTTGATTGTACATTTTGTTTACCAAAGCCACATCTCTTCCTTCGTTCGTTATGAATGGGCTATTTTTCAAGTTAATCCTTTAATCAACGAAAATTGCCGCTAGGAAAACTTTGTTGGTCATAACTAATATCCATGTTCGATAAGAGTGTAGTAGCTAGGTCGCTTTCCATCGTTTTCAAAACAAAACAACACTTTTCCCACATCAAGAACACGAGTTGGTCTTCCAGTTGAGTTTGTTATTTCGATGTCGCATTGAAACGTCGCTTAGCGACGTCTCATTGCGAAAAGCTTCGGCTCACGCGACCTCGCACGATACTCGTTCTCATGAAACGCATACACATCCGGAAATGTGCTGTGCTTACAAAACAGTGCGACACACTGACTTTATGAGAATGAGAGAGAAACAGAGTGCTACAAATCTCTTGCGCATGAGACTGCTATGACTATGAGACTATTCGTATTGCGTCTCGCATACGGTAGCGCGCGCACTGGAAGCCTGCTTTCATCTCGATTTTTAAATCAAGATTTAAAGCAAAATAATAACTTCACTGTTTGACACTAAACTGACTCCCATACAAAGTGACACCGAGGGGCGCTAATAAGGTGATTTTTGCGAATGTAATCGTTCTTATTTAGAATAGTTCCAGTGTACCAAAATTGATGAAATTTATGGTTTGGGTTCCATTTTTAATGCAGATTACGAATATGCATTTACCTCAATACCCTTAAAGAACCCAATTAGTTGGATTGAAATTATACAGCTAGAATACATTTCTTTCTTTTTCTCCAATGCAACACTTTCGTTGCTTATCAACCTTATCAGAGTAGGTATCGCAGATGAGCCAAAAGGCCTATTCAAATCGTGTTCCTTCGGTTATCTACACAGCAAAAAAGTTGTTGAATATTACATCGAAACTGCTGCAGCCAGGTCAATCTATCGGTTGTGTAATATCACATTGTACGATGTACATCGATTTTGCGAACAAAATTACATTCATTGATGTAATATTGTATCTGCTTTTTGCTATTACATCATTATTTCATACATCAGCTTGAATTACGTTGATCGATATTACATTTTTTTTTTTGCTGTGTACACACTCTCTCTGATATTGATCGTATAGATGTATAAGATAGCCAGAAAACAATACAAGTCAGTCAAAAATATACCTTCAAATCGAACGCATCTACCGTGTTATTCTTTCAAGATAACAGGGTTCAAGTGACCGTTTTAAAACCCCCCAGTTTCTCCGCGTAGTGTTAGTCGCAAATACGAACAGTTTTCATAAAATAAACGTTCTTCCCAAACCCAGTCGTCATAAAGGGTGATACGGTCAAAATTTGGTCAATATCAACTTGACGTATTTCTTTCAATTTTGCATTTAAAAAACCTGAACACCCCTCATTTTGAAGGTGTGTGTGTGTAGAATGTTGCTCCTATTTTGATTTTGGAATTCACTCTTCAGTTGTCAAAATGCCGTCCAAGCAAGAAGAGCAGCGAATCAAAATTTTGCTCGCGCATCGCGAAAATCCGAGCTACTCGCACGCAAAGTTGGCAAAATCGCTAAAAGTTGCCAAATCAACCGTTACAAATGTAATTAAAGTGTTTGGGGAACGTTTGTCGACAGCCAGGAAGTCTGGATCGGGGGGAAATCGAAAACCGGAAGCCGCTGAGACGACAAAGAGAGTTGCCGGTAGTTTCAAGCGAAACCCTAACCTCTCTCTCCGAGATGCCGCAAATAAGCTGGGTGTATCGTCTACAACCGAGCATCGAGCCAAAAAACGAGCCGGACTATCGACTTACAAGAAGGTAGTGACTCCAAATCGCGATGATAAACAAAATACGACGGCCAAAGCGCGATCCCGGAGGCTGTACACGACGATGCTGACGAAGTTTGACTGCGTGGTAATGGACGACGAAACCTACGTCAAAGCCGACTACAAGCAGCTTCCGGGACAGGAGTTTTATACGGCAAAAGGAAGGGGAAAGGTAGCAGATGTTTTCAAGCACATGAAACTGTCAAAGTTCGCAAAGAAAAATCTGGTTTGGCAAGCCATCTGTACCTGTGGCTTGAAAAGCAGCATTTTCATAGCTTCCGGGACTGTCAATCAAGAAATTTACGTGAAAGAGTGTTTGAATAAACGTCTGCTGCCTTTCCTGAAGAAACACGGTTGTTCCGTACTGTTTTGGCCGGATTTGGCATCTTGCCATTACGGCAAAAAGGCCATGGAGTGGTACGCCGCCAACAACGTGCAGGTGGTTCCCAAGGACAAGAACCCTCCCAACACGCCAGAGCTCCGCCCAATTGAGAAATACTGGGCTATTGTCAAGCGGAACCTAAAGAAGACCAAAAAAACTGCTAAGGGCGAGCAGCAGTTCAAGGCAAACTGGCTTTCTGCGGCGAAGAAGGTGGACAAGGTGGCTGTACAAAATCTGATGGCAGGGGTCAAGCGTAAGGCCCGGCAATTCGGATTTGGAAAAGCGGAAGCCTAACTGAATATTTTACCTGAATTTTATACTAATTGAACTTGAAAAAGAAATTTAATTTGATTTTTTAAATAAACGATTTCACCGATTTACACGCGTTTTCCCTTGACCAAATTTTGACCGTATCACCCTTTAATCGAGTACCACTTGGTTGCACATCATTCTACTTTAACCTGAAAAGATATAAAAGAGCGCTGCTGTCTCATTTTCGCTTCACCACGCCGATAAGGCAGCAGAAGCATCAATAGCAGCAGTAGGAAGGTGGTGGCAGGTTAGGTAGCCCACTCTTCTACCCAACAAGCAACAATGGCTGGTCGTGGCAAAGGAGGAAAAAGTCTTGTTAAAGGAGGCGCCAAGCGTCATCGCAAGGTTCTTCGTGATAACCGCCATCCGTCGTCTGGTTCGCCGTGGCGGTGTCAAACGTATCTCCGGTCTGATCTACGAGAAAACACGAGGTGTGCTGAAGGTGTTCCTGGAAAATGTGATCCGTGATGCTGTCACCTACACTCAAAAAATGTTGAAATCTAAATATTATAAAAGTTACGCTAAATCGCAAGTCTCCGTTCCGACGAAAAGGTCGGTATAAAGGGAGATAATGCAAACTTAGTATGGTTTATGCTAAAGAGGCTGAATTTATAAAGAGATGACACGTCAAAATTGGAACAATCGATTATCTGTCAAAGTCATAGGAAAAGTTATTCCAATCGAGCAGAAGACCTGTCAAATATATAAGATGTCGCCTCTTTACCCAATTCAGTCTCTTTAGTTTATGCGTTCCATTGTATAAAATCGGAATATACTTACAATGCATAGATACGGTTTGTTCGAGAGAACGGTTTTTTTCGTTTCTTTATTTGATTTATGGTAAATATTATTGTTTTCAAATAAAAATATAAATTGTAATTGTATAAATTGTTTTATTTTTTATGAATATTATTTAAAAAATACTTACAATTTCGATGTTCATGAGGATGAACTCGTGCTCACGCAGCGAATCCAGATGTTCTTGTTCCTAGAATTTTAGTAAACACTGATCGAACTCCACTCCGTTATTCGGACTTAGTATAATTTTGACGAAAATTTCAATCGAATCAATGTATAAATTTTGAAAAACCATAAAATGCATACAATTTAATCTATATTCGTTTTGTAATATTTTTGAGTGTACTCTGAGCACACCAAGCGTAACGAGAAATTGGATTAGGTCAAGCTTTCGTTGGTACCCTTCGCCGGCTTAATATAGGTAGGCCTCGAATGCCAATGGATTCTTCAAACATAGCAAACTTCAATCAAAGTCAAAACCACGCCCGGAAAGATTCGGTATAGAAATACAAATGAGATATATTTTGTTAAAATTTTCCATACTTCTAATTACACAATAATAGATCAATAACTTATAAATAATATATCGAACTTGAAAGAAAGCTGCTGTCCAGTTGTCTATGGATGGTAAACGCGATTCAGCATGTCTTGTCGTCAGTGACGGAAATAGTTCCAATGATTGGTCACTACTATGCGTACAAAATAAATAAATTTGCACTGAGAGAAAATGTTAACTTACTTAATTTTTTGCTTCCTTAACATGCGCTTGTAGTATGTCGATAATTTTACTTAGCGACTAAGCCAATACATAGGTTTATAAAAAGTGTTCATTTTGTCACTATTGTATAAATACATTACTGAAAAAATGGCTAGTGATAATAAATATATATATATATATACGTTGTTTATCAGTTTAGATTTTTGTTATCGTTAGTACGCCGCACACAAATATTCCATATTCGTGTTCAGATTTGCACCTGCTCTCTCATTCGTTCTACTGTAGTTTTGGAATCGTGGAAAAAAGTCATCATAGTTTAAATTTTTTTAACAGAAAAAAAATACTCTATTATACAGGAAGCAAACACCCACTCACCCCAGTCGGAATTCTACTTATCCTCTAAACTTAACCGGAGCACCTCGGCGAGCATTTCCTCTTCCCGTAAGCGTTCCTCCTCGCGTCGCCGTTCCTCCTCCTGGCTGAGTTTGATCGCCAGCTCCAGGTTCGGGTCCAGATAGTCCGGTATGCTGTCGAGTTCGTCCGTTCCGGCGTTCGTGGGGTTGTCTCTGGGATGGGCCCGAGGCTCCATCGAGGAAGGCTCAGCTTCGGCTTCGGCTCCGACTCCGGCTGCCGTTGCCCCTTCGGCAGGTACGCTACCGCTTTGAAACCCAGTGATCAGTGATTCTTGCAAAGCTCTGTGGATTACAACACATAAAAGCGATTTGTTTCTCTCTAGCGATAGTGTGTGTGTGTGTGTGTGTGTGTGTGTGTGTGTGTGTGGGTGGATGGGTGAGTAGGTAGGGTGGATACCAGTGCCCTTTCTCTCTCTTTGTACAAAATGGCTTGGGTGAGTAGTGTGGTGCCTCGTGGACTGTTAGTTGTAAGCGAAAAATCTCAATATTCTGCATTTGTAACCTTAATGTCTCTGTAGTCATCGAAATAATAGAAACGTAACGGATCGAGCAGCTAAGCTCAAAGATACTCAAAAGAGGCATGCATTTGGAAACTACCTAGAGCGATAGTAGCTCGGATAGCAGCGTGGATACTTTTCAGTGGGTCAATCAAGTACATTACATGCAAGCGTTTAGTGTGCAAGCTATCAAATCCAAAAATAGAGTTAACCACAGCTAAAGCCAAAGATGAGGAAGTGGTGTCCTTGAAACAAGACATCGAAAAATGTGTTTAATGCACACCAATTTCTCATGTAATATTTGCTCACAGAATCCCATGCACTCGATGCGATCACAAACATATGCCATTCTGATGAGCGTTGAAGTCAATGCTGGATATGCCCTAACGATTTCGAACCGGTCGGTATGCCCTTACAGCGTCTAAATGATGCTCTTCTTCGACCACTTCACGAATCACAATAAAATCAGCCTCGTAACGGCAAAAGAACACATGATTGGATTACCATAGAACGTGAGCCTTAGCCGAAAATAACATCGGGCCATAAATTCACGGTAAATAAAACAACGATTCTATCTACCATGCAGGAAATATTGTGTTTTGCTGTGGCTAGCTGCGCTCACGCTGAGTAGATAGAATGAAGATTGAGGACGATTCTGAAGATTTCCTGCAAAAATATGAGGCACGATGCAAGTAGATGCGAGAAATGAAAGAAGATTTTTCCGAGGAAGGCCCCTTAACGCAAATCATTCAAAACGATGATGTAAATAATGCTATCGAACGTCGTTTGCTTCTCTGAGCAGACAAACGAGGTCGAAGCATAGCCATCGCTATCAGAGGTGGTACGAACATTGGTGAAGCGTGAAAACGTAAATTCAGTGCCAACATTTCAAAGGGGCGTAATTGCATTTGTAAACAATGGCTTTAGTCGTCGATTTTTCCCGATTGAAAGCTCACTCATGAAAATGAATGACACCAGCACGCAGAGGAATGTTTCCTATATCAGCTAGCATTTGTAATTTGGAGGGGTGAAAACCCACATTCCTTGGGTTTGCGAGAAATCGACGTCTAAAGCCATTGTTTACAAAAGCAATTACGCCCCTTGAAATGTTGGCACTGAATTGTCTATTGCGTGGTGGAGGTAGTTTCCTCTAAAGAGACTGAATTGGTAAAGAGGCGACATCTTATATATTTGACAGGTCTTCTGCTCGATTGGAATAACTTTTCCTATGACTTTGACAGATAATCGATTGTTCCAATTTTGAAGTGTCGTCTCTTTATAAATTGACCACTTTGTCAAGCAGTTTTGGCGAGACTTTCTACCAGCTATTTCACAAAACTGGACCAATTAATTTCTATTTTTTTATGAAACGGACAAATGTAGGCTACTACTTCTCTCGAGGTTCTAGAAGAAAAAATCTCAAAATTATGTTTTATTTCAAAGTTCGAGTAGTAAACGTCATTTTAAGTGCTCGAATAAAGTGGTTAATTCAGCCTCTTTAGTTTCCTTTACCAACACTACATTTTTGTATCCATGATGAATGGCTGTTCATGGCTACTCAATATGGAAATGTAAACAATCGAACAAACAATCTAATCTAAAGCATTTGCAAGTCATCCTAACTAGAAACACTGGAATAAGAGACCAGCGGAGACACTGTTATGATTCCAATCGAACTGTCAAAAGCGGTTCCAATCTGCAATGTTTACAAATGGTTTGCTTCAATTAGGGAGGAGTATTAAAATCGTTTAACAATCACTCATGAACTCGCTCGTCGGTGCATTGGCGAAGTCACTCGCAAGCAGTTACAAATGCAAGTGATGCCAGGATTGCTTTGATGTTTATCTTGTTGCCAAATTCATGTTTTTTTCTCCGCTGGTCTCTTATTCCAGTGTTTCTTATCCTATCCTAAAATTGTTGTGCTCTGAGCCTGTATGTTTTACAGCCAATTTTGAAATAAAAATCACCCTTTATTTGGACGACAGTCATATGGATGCTCATCAGTTGATGACGAATTCGACCATAAGGAAATCATCCGAAATTCAACAGCATATTGTTAAAGGGCTCGAGCAATACAAAAATCAGTCGAAGTATTGCGGATGTTTTCGTTCTAGCACCTGCACATTAAATAGGAAAGGTGATAATATGTTCCCTTTCTATGCTTCACGGCGACAACTTCAGGCCTCGTCATTCTTTTTAGGGTTCCAAGATTCACCACAAGAGGCTGAAACGATAGCTTAGCTTCTATTGAAATCGCCTATACCAAATGCATTTCAATTTAGGATAACTATCATTCTGCAGAGAGCTGCCATAGACCTTTTTGACGTTTAATCATCTTTCTCTATCTAGCACAAATGGATGAATGGACAGTTTGTTTTCCCACTAATCTGTTTCCCTCTTGCTCGCACTCGTTCGCTTTAAATGGTACAGTAGTGTGCGTCGATTAAACGTCAACAAGCTCTATGTAATATTCAACAATTTTTTTTTTCTGTGTATCATTCCCAAAGGCGATTCCGATGTTTCGATTTGAATGGTCTGAGGTTTCATTCGAACAGAAGACGGTGGTTTGGTACAGTGTAGGTCCTAAGTAACATTGACAGATTCTCTACGTCGACATTCTCTTTGCATCCTCACGGCCATGTTACGACATTCCCAGCTATTTTTAGCACACAGATCGATGAAAGAAATAATAGGTTCTAATACGACAAACACGATCAGAAACAATTCTGTACCCAAGTTATTAACGAAAGAGAAAGTCGATGAATAGAATCGTTCAATGCAGGGAAAACATGTCAAAAGGGTCTTTTGCTTTTGGTTGACAGTTGGAAGTTTTTTTTTTTTTGTTCAGTTAGCGTTCTAGTTCTGTAGTAAAAGACGCAAATAAAATAGTAGCTTTTTTTCTTTTCCCGTAGTTTACGTGTGTTTAATCGTTTTTCCGAAATTCGTTCCTTTTCCGAGGTTTCCGGTAGTGCTCTGCTCCTTCAGGTTATGGGCCCAGTAGTGAAAAGTGGACAGTTTCATTTTTTTTCGTGGAAAACGGGTGTGCCGGAAGAATCGCGTTTTTTTCTTTCGAGAACCTTTTGTGTAACACGTGCAGTGGGAAAAGATGGCCGAAAGTATGAAGGTCATGTTCGCCAAGTTGAATGGCAACAACTACGTTTCCTGGAAGTACAGGATGATGACGATGCTTGAGCGCGAGGAAGTTTGGGACGTGATTGAGAAACCCAAGCCAGAGGAGGTTGATGCCGAGCTCCAGCAGTGGATCAAGGATGATCGGAAGGCTCGTACGACAATTGCGCTCTTCGTGGAGGATAGTCAGTTGCGTTTCATCAAAAAGGCGGCGACTGCTCGCGAGATGTGGTTTAACCTCAAATCGTACCACGAAAAAGCGACTATTGGAAACCAGGCCCTGTTGTTGCAGCAGCTTTGCTCGTTAAATCTGAGTGAAGGTGGAAACGTCGAGAAACACATCGAGGAGATGGAGAATCTTTACGAACGTCTGGAAAATGCTGGTGTGGAGCTTAGTGAGCTGCTGAGAATCATTATGATGCTTCGGAGCTTGCCATCGTCGTATCACAGCTTTGTTACTTCATTGGAGAACCGGCCTCAGGAAGATTTGACGATCGATTTAGTGCTGGCGAGACTTCGGGATGAGTGCCAAAAGCGAGAATGTCAGCAGGGAAACGGTGTCAAGATGGAGAAGGCCATGAAGATGGTAGCGAAGCCAAAAAGTGAAACTCGGAAGTGTTTTTTCTGCAATATGCCGGGTCATCTGAAGAAGAATTGCAGGAAGTTTCTAGCAGCGAAAAAGGAACAAGGCCTAAGCCATTCAAGTCAGAAGGATAGTCCAGACCAGCAAGCGAAGCAGGTGCAAACACAACCGGCGCCGGAGCAGCGGGATGCTGAGAAACCTAGTGAGAAACCCAGCGCTGTTTTTGGAGCTGTGTGCTTCGTCGCAGGAGGAGTTATTCCCGGAGCATGGACTGTGGATAGCGGTTGTACGTGTCATATGACCAACGACCGTACTTTCTTCAACGAAATGAAAAGAGGTGTCGTTGTCGATGTGACCCTGGCGGATGGAACCAAAACGATGTCTGCTGGATGCGGTAGTGGAGTGTTGTTCGGTGTAAACGGAGATGGAAACCGAATTGCCATCACGTTGGAGAACGTTCTGTACGTCCCTTCTCTAGAAGGTGGACTGATCTCGGTCCGGAAGCTGGCACTCAAAGGATTTTCAGTGGTGTTCGGCGTAGATCGTTGCGAAGTAAAATCTGCGGATGGCGTTGTAGTGGCAGTTGGTGAAACCGTCGGCAACCAGTACAAATTGAAAACGGCCGAGCAGGGTATGCGTGCGGTGTGTGGAAACCATACCTTGTTGTGCCAACACACCTGGCATAGAAGGTTTGGTCATCGAGATGCGGATGTCATAGAGTCGATTAAGGCTAAAGATCTGGCAAGTGGACTGGAGGTCAAGAGTTGCGGTGAGCAGATAGTTTGTGAATGTTGTCTGAAGGGGAAGTTGACTCGTTTCCCTTTCCCAGCGGTAACTGAACGCAAGTCTAAGCAGCCTTTGGATCTGATCCACACGGACCTTTGTGGCCCCATGGATAATCAAACGCCTAGTGGTAACAAGTACCTGATGACCATGATCGATGATTTCAGTCGATTCTGTGTGGTCTTTCTCCTGAAGTCCAAGGACGAGGCAGCAGGGAAGATAAAGGAGTACGTGCGCTGGACGGAGAATGGATTCGGACGGAAGCCCCGCATCATTAGATCCGATGGCGG